CTTCAGAAAGAGTTACAGGGTCTGCGGGAATCCCTTGAGTTCAGCCAGAAACGGGTGGTTGAGCTCGCGGCAGAAAATAAGGTCCGCCAAGGTTTGGTTAAATCCCTCACGGAGGGAATGATGTGGCTCTCGGCGGAAAATAAACACATTGGAGGAGCGATCATCAATCTCCAGGCTCGTAGTATGCGGGATAATCTGGTAATTTTGGGCATCACGGAGCAGGCCCGCCGTCAGGGGGGGGGGTCAAAGGGTACAGATGACCCCGGCCCGAGGCCTTGGGGCCCATGCAAAGGTCTATGGTTAACCCTTAAATGTGATCAAGTTAGACACTTTACTAACGGTCTTTTATAAATAACAAAACTTTTTAGATGTATTTACATGAAAAATAAATTTATTGTTGTCATTAAAACATATTTCAAACTTGTCATCTGATAACCGTGTGAACTCACAGCTGATGCGATTTGATATCGTGCTGTGAGTCACAGTAAATAACTGAAAGAGTTTTCCAAAAAAAACATCTAAAATCTGAGGCGCAGGTCTCCTCTGTTTGGGACTGTGAGCTGCTCTTTATCTGAGGTGCTAAAGTGAACATTTGTGTGGATTTATGGTGAGATTTCTGCCTGAACAAAAGTGTTTTCAGTTAGTTTCAGTTAGTTTCGTTTACCTCCTCCTATCATCTGGTAGTACAGTCCCAAACGGTTCTGTGTCTGCAGACGTTCAGCAGCCCAACATCGCAGGTGTATGCACAGCAGAGTATATGGCAGGTAGACTGTTACAGTATATTATTAATTCTCATACATGATGACATTATTGTTGTAATATTATGACTTTTTTCTGGACCTGTCAGAGAACACAGATATGTGGGGGATATTCTGAATGTTCAGAAAAATTTGAACATCAGCAGAAACCTGCTGAAACACATGAGCTAAAGTGCAGGAGTTTCTAACTGAACTAAAATTATTTAATATCACTGAGGTGAGTAAATGAGGGGCCCAGTTTGGAAAATGTTGTCCCCCTGTCCAAAATTCCTTATAGCGGGTCTGTCCCGGAGAAGGCGGATGAAGCCCCAAAGGAGCTTCATTCAAAATCATCTGAAGCTCCCGGACGCTTGCCTTTGATCGAGTGTACCGCCTGGGAGAACCCAGGCCCATGGTCGCGAAGTTTGAACACTTCAAGCAGAAGGAACTGGTTAAAGGCCGCGGCAGGGAGCTGAGAGGAACCAACTGCAGCATGAACAACCGGTTTCCCCAGGAGATCCTGTTCCTGATAAGAAAGAAGCTTATTGCAGATGATGAATAAACTTTACGTTTGATGGCCAGCTGTACCGCGACAGAGACACCACTCCGTTTTTTCCACTAAGAACCAAATCCAGCAACGGGTGAGCTTTATCACTATGCAATAATTGTTTCCCTCTTTCCTTCTCAGTTAATTTCTCCGTGACAGATGGCAGGTTAATAGGCCTAGTTATAAAATACAGTTCACGTCTCAACACTGTGGTTATCTGACTAGACTGTCTGATAATGTTTTGTGGGTTTTCCTCTGTTTTGTTTCACTGTTTCTTTCTTTTGTTAATGGTGCTCTTTCTCCTCCGTTTACACGTTGATCAGCCGCGCTATTTTCATGCTGTTTAATTCGGGCACATCGCTAGCACACACACACACAGGTGCATACAACATGCACACATAGACACACCACACACAAGGATACAACACACACTAGCCTACACTACATCCCTTAAGTATAATTTATACTTCTGCAACGAATTGATGGCGTGGCCTCTGCGTAGCCCCCTACCCTACACTGTCACCTACGCCATAGCCTGACGTGCACTTCTTCAAAAATGTAACCACACATCGAGGTAACGCAAACCGTAAGTACTGTGATTTGTTGGCTGCGTAGCCTCACAATACCTCAGAGCCGATAGAAAGTGTCCTGTGCTTTGAAGTAATTTTTACTAGCGGCCAAAACAGTGGCTGTAACTCGTGGATCAATATATTTGACCATCAGAACCCGAGCGAAATGACTCGTTTCACTATCAGAATGTGATCTATTCGGTCGATATCATTTGAAAAGGCTACACCAGCCACACGTATACAATTCGTGAAAGAGACGGACAAGAAACGCACAAGTATAAATGTATGGCTACGTGCGTAGCCTACAGGGTAGCTTCGCACATAGATCCTAGGCAGGAGTATAAATCAAGCTTAGTTGAATGATGACCACACTTAAGCTCACCTCTTGGACTGTTTGCGGAGTTGGTTCAAGGGAAAAGAGATTAAATTGTTTTAATCTAAATTATGTGATGGCCTTCAGCACATAAGCCTTTATTGTTGTTTTGTATCCTTACTGTGAGTCGGTGGTTTTATGGTGTTAGTGGAATGCATGTCTTTAACTGCCGTGTTGTTGCTGTAGTATGAAAGAGGCTCAGGAGCGCGAACAGAGCTGAATCTTACCCGGTGTCCCCACATTAAAAGCAGAATAGTGTCTGATGCAACCAGGAGAGAAAACGGGCTTGTGCTTCGTTTCTAACTGAGTTTTGAGCCCATTGACAATAAGGCAATGGAAGCTGGATTAATTTCATTGAAAAACTTACATATAGTCCCATTAAGAATGAACTTTTGATCTCGATTAACTTGTCTGGTTTTGAGCTTTTTATTTACAGTCTATAGTTTGAGGAGCATGTAAAAGAACATGTGTTATTGCATATATTTCATAAAAAGTATATGCAGTTATAATTAAATTATATACATGTATACAATCCCAGGTTTCTGTTTAAGACTGTGGATCAGCTGGTAAACTCAACCCCTCCTTGTGCCTCAGCTGGAAGTAATGATGACTGTGAATTGTTTTTATCTTATTTTACCAATAAGGTGGTGTCAATCAGAGCCTCTATTACCCCCGCGGCCTCTTACTCAGAGGTTCCTCACCAGCAACAAGAGAGTTTTAACCAGTTTTATCCCATCGACTTGTCTGAGCTTTTAAAAACAGTATCACAAATGAGAGTGTCCTCCAGCCCACTTGATGTAATACCTACAAAATTTTTACTGAAAGTAATGGATTCTGTTGGGCCCCATTTGATCTCTGTTTTCAACAGCTCCCTATCTACTGGTTGTGTCCCTGATTATTTTAAAACGGCTTGCGTGAACCCACTTTTAAAGAAACCTGGTTTAGATCCCTCCCTCCCACATAATTTTAGACCAATTTCAAAACTGCCTTTTATTGCAAAGATTTTAGAAAGAATTGTGTCCAAACAGCTGCTCACTGTACTGGAAAATAACAAATTATTTGAAAAGTTTCAGTCTGGTTTTAGGAAGTACCACAGCACTGAGACTGCCCTGCTTAAAGTCACCAATGACCTTTTAATGTCTGCTGATGAAGGCATGTGCTCAGTCCTGGTACTCCTGGACCTTAGTGCTGCTTTTGACACCATTGATCACAACATCATGTTAGACAGACTGAGGCACTGGGTGGGAATCTCTGGTACGGCCCTAGAATGGTTTTCATCCTACCTGTCAAATAGGCAGTTTTGTGTGTCTGTAAACAACTATGTCTCCTCATTCTGTCCTGTTAAATATGGTGTACCTCAGGGGTCGGTCTTAGGACCCATTTTGTTTTCCTTGTATCTGCTTCCCCTTGGACATATTATCCATAAACATGGCAATTCTTTTCATATTTATGCTGATGACACACAAATATACTTGCCCGTCAGATCCACAGACCCTGGAATGCTGAGTTCACTTAACAACTGCCTAAGTTAAAAAATGGATGTCAAATAATTTCCTCCAGCTGAACTCAGACAAAACAGAAATCCTGGTCAACGGGTCTCAGCAGATGACAAATCAAATACTGCCATCTGCTGGTTCCCTAGTAAATCACATTAAGCCTGTGGCAAAGAACCTTGGTGTTTGGTTTGATAGTAATTTAAATTTCGAGCAGCACACCACAAAGCTTGTTCAATCATGTTTTTATCAACTTAGAAATATAGCAAAAATTCGATCTATGTTAACTTTTAAGGACACCGAGACCATTTTACACGCCTTCATCTCATCACGCCTGGATTATTGCAACAGCCTTTTCACCTGTTTAACCCAAAAATCTATTGATCGACTCCAGACTGTCCAGAACTCAGCTGCCAGGCTTTTAACCAGAACAAAGAAATATGACCACATTACCCCTGTGTTAGCTTCATTACACTGGCTCCCAGTATGTTTTAGAATTAACTTTAAAATTCTATTGATCACTTTTAAAGCTCTTCATGGCCTCTCGCTTTGTTATATTTCTGACCTTTTAGTCCCATACGCACCAGCACGTACCTTGAGATCCTCGGGCAGAGGTCTGTTGTCTGTTCCAGAGTCTCGACTGAAAACTAAAGGGGACAGAGCGTTTGCTGTCAGGGCCCCGAGGCTCTGGAACAGCCTGCCCAAGGAAATCAGGTCGGCTGAGTCAGTGAACTCTTTTAATTCCCTTCTTAAAACATACTTTTATAGGAGAGCTTTACTAATTTTATATTAATTTTTCATGCTCTTATCTTGTTTTTTTGTATTATTCTTTACACTTGTTAAAGCACTTTGTAACTTGTTTTTGAAAAGTGCTCTACAAATAAGGATTATTATTATTATTATTATTATTATTATGTAAATGTGAGCCATTTTGATTATGAGATTTTCTGATGCTGATCTGTGCTTGAGACTGAGGTAAAAGGTCATGACAGAGACTTTTCTTATTAACGGTCCCAGGGTGGCTCCTTTGGATGGCACATTTAGATATGAATGTATAGTGAGATGTTGTGATGGAGAAACTAATTTATTATTCAACAATATATTTTTATCATTGACTTTGTTTTGTTTAATCAAGGTCAATGATATGTGTGCGTGTATATGTGTGTGTGTGTGTGTGTGTGTCCTCAGTGAAGTGTATCAGTCTCTGCAGTAGCTTCCAGCTGCAGCAGTCTGTTCAGTTTCTGTTCAGTCTGACTGAGGGAGGTTTTGTACTACGCTTTTTCACTGTGTGAACACAGCTTGACTGTTGATATAATGATAACTCTGACAGTAGTAAACTGCTGCATCTTCAGTCTGGACTCCACTGATGGTCAGAGTGAAGTCAGAGTTTGATCCACTGCCTGTAAAACGACCTGGAATCCCTGATGCTCGATTGTTAGCATTGTAAATGAGGAGTTTAGGAGTTTCTCCATCTCTCTGTTGGTACCAGGCTAACCGGTGTAAGTTGTTCCAAATTTCAACATCCTCACTGATCCTACATTTGATGGGGACGAAGCCTCCCAGAGCAGAGCTCACTGCTCCAGGCTGAGTCACTGTGTACTGGCCTCTGGACTCTGAGGATACAGAGACAAAAACATAAAGCAGCGTCATGGTTTTGTGGGCTTCATTTCAGAGGGACGGATGTTCATAGAGGAGAGGAGTTTGATTCTCTGGACTTTACCTGTGAAGCAGCAGCAGAGGAGAGTCCAGATGAGGACGCAGATCAAAGTCATGTTTTTGATGAGGAGGATTTCTGTGGCTTCTGTTGTCATGAAGGACAGCTGTCAGTCATCCAGTGTTCAACTCTCAGGACTATAAACTCTCCCAGAGCACTGGAGCATGGTGCTGCTGATGCAAAGTGGCTCTCTATGGAAATTGTAAATATACTTGTGAAGAAACAAATAATAAAGAAGTTACAACAAACTGATGTCTTTGTGATATTTATTAAAGATAAAGGCAGAGCTCACACTTATTAGGGCCACTGTAGGTTAAAGAAATTAATAATTTACCAAGGACTGTGAGCATTAAGACTTAGTTTTAGTGTCAAGTTAAAGGTTTTAGTTAAGGTGAGGTTGTGGCTTGGAATGTGTGTGTTTGTTTGTGTCTTTTCCACATACATTTTGTCACAAGGACAACATAGTGTTGCTTGTCTGTATCTTTAAACAATAAAGATCACTCACCAATCAGCCATAACAGTATGACCACCTGCTGGTCATTTAGGTCTCCCTTTTGCCGCCAAAACAGCCCTGTCCCGTCGAGACCGGGACTCTGTCAGAACCAGCTTAAACTTTTTCACCAATTTCACCTACAGTAGCTCGTCTGTGGATCGGGCCACACGGACCAGCCTTTGCTCCCAACATGCATCAATGAGCCTTGGCCGTCCATGACCCTGTCGCCGGTCCAGTGCTTTTTTTCCTTGGACCACTTTTGATAGGTACTGACCACTGCGGACCGTTTTGGAGATGTTCTGACCCAGTAGTCTAGCCATCACAATTTGGCCCCTTTGAAAGTAGCTCAAATCTGTACACCTGCCCATTTGTCCTGTTTCTAACATTTCAACTATGAGGACTCAATGTTCTCTTGCTGGCTAATATTTCCCACCCACTGACAGATGTCATGAAAATGAGCTCATCAGCTTGATTTACTTCCCCTTTCACAGCTCATATAGTTATGGCTGATCGGTGTAATTATAAAGATCAGTTGTGTTGCTGTCTTCCTGAAAACAGTAGATTATTTAATTCCACAAAGAATAAGTCTGCCTCTGTGTTATAATATAATAATAATTATAACCATTTCCCATCTGTAGTGTTATCTGGACAGTTGCAAACCAGTACTGTCCTCTTGTGGAATTGTTTTGGTACTACACAAGTGTTCAAGTCACTAATATAGGCTTTTCCCTCAAGTGTTATTCAGAGTTATTTAAAAAGATCCAGTATGTAAAAGTCCAAACATTGTTTCGTCTGGAGAGTCAATATTGTCATTCAAAAACAGTGTCCAGCTTAATTAGGTCAATGGATAATCCACAGAACGTAGTCATACAGGGACAGTTTTACTTAGAGAAATAGTGCCTATGAAGGGAGGTTGTGGAAATTGAATTAACCTCCTCTCTATGGGGTTGAGAAATCTCAGAAACATTTTAAAACCATGACAAATAAAACATAACTGCTGCATTTTATGAAGAGAGCAGGATGCTGGAGAAGGACGGCCGCTACAGCTGGAGCAGCACCCTGAGGCTCCCTGCAGACCAGTGGAGGAAGGTGGGCTCTGTGACCTGTGAGGCCACCCAGGGCTCCCAGCCTCTGGTCTCAGAGACACTGAGGAGAGACCAGTGTACCCATTGCTGACCTGAATCACTGGTACTGGTTTTACACTGCCACTGCTCTCAGTCTGTCTGGTTCTCAGTTTCTCTCATGAGATGTGTCAATATGGACCTCAGGTGGTTAACGTGCTTGTGTTGATCGTTGATTGATTTTTATCATGTAGACTATATTATAAAAGTAACACATCTTGTTGACTTACTTTCTTTGACATATATGTTAGCAACATTAGTAAGTTTCATAATATCAAGTTTTTTTTTACCAGGTTACTTTTTGATGGTTTGTGTTCTTTGCTATTACTAATGTCACCATTGGATAATATACACACACCTAGAAATTATTAAAAGTAGAATTTAAAAGAAGGAAGGTATTATCTGCATAAAGTGATTTGATATATTCCACCAAATAATATTTAAATGAGACTTTGTCACTTCACCAAAAGAGAACGACTGTTTCTGTCTCTTGGTGTCAGCACAATTAACACATTGTGATTTTTCACTGCTTGTAGTTTACACCCATCCCATTTACCAAATCAGCTGTATTCCTGCACATTATAAACATATAACTGTTGTTGCTGTCTTAAATTAAAACAGTGGATCCCTTTAATCCGAAGAGACTGGATTACTCTTAGAGTCAGATCACCAGGATTTTATAATTTTATGTGAACATTTTACACAGAAATAATGCTCAGTGTCCTGCTCTGTTCTGAAATGCTCTCTGTTATATAGAGGTATATCATGTATGAGTTTGACAGCCTTAAGGTACTTTTTTTTCAAAGCAAAGTAAAGTTAAAGTTAAACATTTTTACCAAAATTAAGTTATTGATTATGTGGTAATGTTACTTAGTCTATAATTAAAAGCTGAAATAAAACAGTTTTGGTTCTGACTTTGAGCAAACTTACAGTGTGCACAAACTGCATAAAATATACTCCTTAAAGTGTATTTATATATGTATTTTTCATGCTGAAAGCATTGCTGGTGTATACCATCAAAATGTATGTTAATCCAATATCTAGTGTTATGGTTTCTCTGCAGCTGTTGATTCAGATCAGTTCCTCTCCAGCTGAGGGAGGTTTTTGTACGACGTTGTATCACTGTGTGAACGGCCAGCTGTAACAGTGCTGACAATAATAATCTCCTGTATCTTCAGTCTGGACTCCTCTGATGGTCAGAGTGAAGTCAGTCCCAGATCCAATTCCAGTAAAACGATCTGAAACTCCAGACTGACGGTTTGTAGAATGATAAATCAGGAGTTTGGGAGATTCTCCAGCTTTCTGAAGGTACCAGTTGAGGCAAGTACCAGCACTTGAACTGGCTTTACATCTGAGAGAGACAGTCTGTCCTGGAACAACAGACTGAGATCCAGGAGACTGAGTCAGGATGATTTCTCCTGATAAATCTGGAAAACATGAAAAGAGGAGAAGGGTTATTGAGACAAATCCAGTTTGGAGAAAGATGATCAACATCCAAACAGAAGAGTCTCATTTCTTTAAGATGGAGAACAGATGGAAGAAGGTAAATGCTGCTTGTTTCAGTGTTTCTCCATCACAGCAGAACATCATTGCGGTGAACCTGGTTGCATCCTGAAGCAAAGTTTTCAGAAGAGAGTCTCACCCTGAACAAGGAGCCCCAGGGTGGCCAGCAGTAGAATCAGTGACATCATCATTGTGCTGCCGGCGTGTCAGTGGCTCTGAAAGGCCTGGACAGCCACTGATCAACACTGGCCTCTTAACGGCTGGGAGCAGAGAGGCAGGACACATATGCAAACACACAGAGTCAGTGAGCTGTAGCTGTCCTCAACATATCATGGTGTTTCCCCCTCAGTGCTGAGAGCGTTGATCTACATATTTACATATTTACATGCAGACGATACTGAAAACTTCCTCTACATGTAATATGGTAATATGGTGTTTTAGACATTGATTAGTGACATTAATATCAATGTAGGTTTGACATCTTTAGGTGTCTGTAATATGGAAGTTTCTTCAAGTAAAGTAGTGTTGGGTGTTTGAGGGGATGCTGAGGCCGGATGCTGAGGCTCAGAGAGCTTCCTCGAGAAACTCCAACCAGAAAACATGGAAGTCATCATCAGTTACATTACTGTTTTTATGACATGATCTTCCTCAGCAGATGGAGTTCACCCAGCTGTCATGGAATATTTTAACTTTGAAGCCAACGTGGATATGAAGTCCTAAAAATGCAGAGAATTTGAAAATCTACATTTTCCTGAAAACTGGGTGACTCCATCTGCTAAGAAAGATCATGTGATGTGATTGAAAGCTCCACAATAGTTAGTGGATGGATGTTGTGGGGAGTTTTTTTTTTTTGCCATTTCCAAGGTTAAGAATAAAAATTTAGTCTCAGTGTATTTGTGGAGTTTTGATTTGCATGTTGGAGAAAATCTGTTATTCCATATTCTTTAGTAGATGCGGATATAGTTATATCAAGGAGGTTACTTCTTTCTTTTGAATTTTTATTATTAAAGTTTACATACTTAAAATACTATTTTGTGCTTTCAGGGATGTACTGGTTTTGTTTGGACAGTCTCTGATTCTGAATATTTCTGATGTCGATCTGTGTCTTCATATTTTCAATTAAATGTATATATTTGAAATTGCTTTAATCCAGTATGAGGCTGAGGTCAAAGGTCGTGACCAAGACTTTTCTTATCTGCTTTCCCAGGCTGGCTACTCTGGATTATTTGGCAAATCAAAAAGACGGTGGGATCATAAAAAGACATGAATGGATCATGAGAAGCTGTGATGGACAAAGTAATTTGATTTGATATTTTTTACAATTGAGCTTATTTTGCTACATGTTCATTTGTGGTTAAAGCAAAAGTTGTGAAATCTTCAACCTCATAGATGACGTGTGTGTTTGTGTGTGTGTGTGTGTGTGTGTGTGTCCTCAGTGAAGTGTATCAGTCTCTGCAGTAGCTTCCAGCTGCAGCAGTCAGTTCAGTTTCTGTTCAGTCTGACTGAGGGAGGTTTTTGTACGACACTTTTTCACTGTGTGAACACATACTGACTGTTGATAACATGAAAACTCTGACAGTAGTAAACTGCTGCATCTTCAGTCTGGACTCCACTGATGGTCAGAGTGAAGTCAGAGTTTGATCCACTGCCTGTAAAACGACCTGGAATCCCTGATGCTCGAGTGTTAGCAAAGTAAATGAGGAGTTTAGGACTTTCTCCATCTCTCTGTTGGTACCAGTGTAAATAGCTCCCACCATGAACATCCTGACTGGTCCAACATCTGATGGAGACGGAGCCTCCCAGAGCAGAGCTCACTGCTCCAGGCTGAGTCACTGAGACCTGGCCTCTGGACTCTGAGGATACAGAGACAAAAACATAAAGCAGCGTCATGGTTTTGTGGGCTTCATTTCAGAGGGACGGATGTTCATAGAGGAGAGGAGTTTGATTCTCTGGACTTTACCTGTGAAGCAGCAGCAGAGGAGAGTCCAGATGAGGACGCAGATCAAAGTCATGTTTTTGATGAGGAGGATTTCTGTGGCTTCTGTTGTCATGAAGGACAGCTGTCAGTCATCCAGTGTTCAACTCTCAGGACTATAAACTCTCCCAGAGCACTGGAGCATGGTGCTGCTGATGCAAAGTGGCTCTCTATGGAAATGCTCTGACTGACTCCAGCAGGGACTTGGATTACTCTGATGATGCAGTTTATCAATGGATCAATCAATTTATCAATTGATAAGATTTTTAAAAAACCTCTTTTATATGATTTTGGTTAAATATTTTGTTTAAAATATGTTCTGAGTTATTTCAGTTACGTGATAGAGAAAAAATGTAAATTTAATTTAAAATAAACTAGTGCTGGGCAACGATTAAATTTTTAAAATGATTTTCTTGAAAATTGAAAATTTAATAATGAATTCTAAAGTAGTGTATTGCTTGATTTAAAAAGTACTGCTACATACACAAAAATGCATTAACATGTGGTTTGTAAAGAGCTTTTTACCAGCAGTATTCCCTTTACACAGCAGCAATAAAATATTTCTTGTAAATCTCAACTTAAACATTAATGTAATCAAATCAAATATTAAACCACAGCTATTTACCACTGCCAGGGAATTACCTTTTATCTAGCTTGTTAAAACAAGTTACCATCAGAGTCCAGTTTTCTTGGAATTGGGAACATAGAAACAGTCTATGTTCAGTAGAAAGTGTCCCTGTTACAGTGAGGTGAAGTGGTCGAGCACAAGGTGTACTGGGGTTCCCGTGAAACTGTCGTGGTTGTGCTCGCCTCACGCACACGCCCGCCTGCTGCCAAAGTTGAGTTGTCTTGAACTTTTTGTACGAGACGCACAGCACAATCATTGTAAGAGAGACTGATCCTCGCTGTTTGTGAGTTTCCAGAATCTAAATAGTTATCAGGACATCAACAGGAGGGAATTCACATGGCAGAGCATCCCCGCAAAACTAAATCCAGGCCTATCAGGTAAAGTTAGTCTGTGTATAATTTTAATTTATGTTAAAGGCTGCGGCTGTGTAGCGCACAGAAGCCGTTGCCATGGTTACTATCCATAGAGCGCCGGCCGTTCACTCGCGGAGAGCTGTCTCCCTGTCTGTTCACCTGAGAGAACCTGCTGAAGCCTCTCCGCTGCTTGTTTTTGCAGGCTGATCAACATCCCACCTCTCCTGTGACCCATGGTTTGATTGTAGGCCTATGTGTATTCAGAGCCAGTGAGCAACGGACTTTCAAAATAATAATTTAAAAAACTGTCGCCGTAAATTAATGAATGCTTTAACGTGATAATAATATGTTAAGGCAGCCCTAAAATTAACATATCAAATTAAAAAAAATTAAAATATTTTCACATGTCAGCTGATAAAATGATACAAACAGAAACTATTTTTGTTGAGTTTGTTTGTGTCAAAGTCAGAGAGCCGTGTCTCTCTACAGTGAGAGGTTTTTGTACGGCGGCTCAATGAGTTTGTATCACTGTGGTTGACTTTTGGTGGAGGAACCAGACTGGATGTTGGAAGTAAGTTTCTTCTCAAATACTAAATGCAATATTATCAAGTTCTGCTTTAAATTCAACTTTTCAATGTTTAAGGCAGATAAATATGTCTTATCTTTTAATTATAAAACTTTTATTGTTCATGTTTTTATTTCTTTTCCTTTACCATGGAGGCTAACTCAGAGCAGCTTAACTAAACTGTTCCTCACACAGTCCTGTCAAAATCAAATATAATCAACTTGGAAGTGAAGAAAATATAAAACTTTAATCTTAATGTAAAAATGCTTAGATTAGTTAATTTTAAAATGCTCTCTACAATAATGGCTGTTGTTGTGATTAAATACAATTCACTTTCATGTAAAACTGAAGTAAAGATAAATATGAGTGTTTTAAAAATGTTGCTTATTGTTATGAATTTGGAAAAAGAATACAGTATTTCCATATTAATAGTGAAAGGACAACTGGCACTACTTTCAACACAGTGGTCAGTGTATCTGTCAGTAAGTGAAGTGATACCGCTGAGCAGTGATACCTGTGTGACTGAATTTGCACTTGAAAAGTAACAACGTTTAAACTGTATCTAGTGGTTCAACTCATCATTATAGCTGTTAATGTAAGTGAAGAAACAGTTTGAAATCCAGATGAAGAACATCTGATTGTTGTCAGTTCATTTCTGTTTTGGTTTCCACTGAATAAATTATTGTACAGTCAAGTTTTTTGATGATCTTGATAAGAAAGTTTGATATTTTATTTCCAGTGCAGTTTGATATATTTCAGGTCGTTCTGTATGATGATTCTCTCTGTGTTGATTTGCATGAGAGGCTTCTTAAAGGGAAGTGAAACAATGTGTGAGTGAGTGACTGGTGGAGCAGAAAAACATCTGACAGAAACTCCTTAAAGGAGAAACTCAGCTCTCACACAGTAAAGGTGTCCTCTAAGCTGATTGGTGTCTCCTAGGTGATGTCCGTCCCACCCTGACGGTGCTGCCCCCCTCCAGTGAGGAGCTGCAGCAGGGGAAGGCCACGCTCATGTGCCTGGCCAACAAGGGCTTCCCCTCAGACTGGAGTCTGGCCTGGAAGGTGGACGGCAGCAGCAGCAGCAGCAGCTGGGAGGAGAGCAGGAGCCCCGGGGTGCTGGAGAAGGACGGCCGCTACAGCTGGAGCAGCACCCTGAGGCTCCCTGCAGACCAGTGGAGGAAGGTGGGCTCTGTGACCTGTGAGGCCACCCAGGGCTCCCAGGCTCTGGTCTCAGAGACACTGAGGAGAGACCAGTGTTCCCAGTCCTGACCTGACTCACTGGGACTCTGCTACTGGTTTTACTCTGCTACTGCTCTCTGAAATCTGTAACACCCTCTCTCTGTGTCTCTACTTTCCCCTCAGTCACTCTCTAATTGCGTTTTTCAATTGCAAGTTTATTTTCTTGATGTAATTTTGATTATTTCTACACAATAAAAACAGTTCATCACAATACTTGTTTTCATTTATGTTATTGTGAAAGTAACAGTTCAGGGGAGCGGCTGGCTCACTTGGTAGAGCACTTGCCCCATTTATAAGGCTGAGTCCTTACTGCAGCAACCTGGGTTTCACTGTTCTATTGAAAATACAGGCTACAAATTCCCAAAAAATATCTTTAAAAAAAGAACAGATCATGCTGTGTTAAAAGTTCCATAATAACCCCGAAATGTTTAAT